TGATTGTATTAACTATCTGCATATTGCTTCAATTTTTTTCAACATGTAATTGATAATTCCAACATCCTCCCGTCGACACTGTGCCTTTGGATATACCTATCAATTTTTTTTCTTAATTTTCCATATATATGGATAGCTTTACCATTGTATCTAATCTTGTATCTAAATGTATAAGATGTCACATAGAATCATTTCCCTATGTTGAATTACACACTTTTTTATAAGAACCAGTAAATTTAAGTTCAGGTTCTTAATTTACTGACTGTTCTTAATTTTTTCGAAAATCTGAGGCTGGATTGTTCTTAATTTGTTCTTAATCTAATAAGATATAAGCAGTGCGAGTGCTAGCTTTTCCCTCTAGGGTGGTGTTCAGGCCTCATTTGCCAACAAAGTGAGTGAGACAGCCTTAATTTGCTGACAAATTTAAATATTCACCAGAAAAGCACCCACACATCGCTAAAAATCCTCGATTTTGAGAGAAAACATTGTTCAAAATTGCATTTTGCAGAAGCTCAGCCTCAGCTTGTTCTTAATTTGTTCTTACTTGGCCAATTTTGAGGCTCATGTTCTTATAGAATTGTTCTTATAAAAAGAAAGAGTGTGATAAACTTTAAAGAGTCTCAAAAGACTAGAAGGTAACAGCCATACGATCTTGGTCCTCATTAGTGACACAAGAACAAACACAAGCACATAAAGCCAGGTGTGACAAAAGTATAAGTACAAGGACAAGAACACAAAGCCTTTTGTTCTTTTTATGCACCAGCAATGTTCAAAGCACAAGCACAAGTGGTCGTGGTGTAAGAAATTAAGCTAGCGCTCATCCCTGTATGTAGACCATAGGGCTGAATGTTTTTGTGCTTGTGTCTCTAGTGAAGTAAAGCTTTACAGATGCCCCTCGATAGTGATTGCAAGAAGATTGGTTTTGAAGGGAACTATCTTTGCTTATTCATACCACTGTACTTTGCTAGAAACGTTCCATCAATTACATGTTATCCTTTAGTAATTTATTCCTTAACGATCAAAGGATCAAACTGATCTTCCCATGGCCAGAACTCATTTCTTTTTCTTTCCCACTCACTGCTTAAATACGGCAGTGGATCTTGAATAAGCTGTTCTATAAGTACTGCCATGTGCTCCAGCTCCTCAGAACAGATCCCATCCAGCAAATTAAAAGGGGGGAATTCGGGTTGCCTCTGGAAGTAGTGCGGGATTGATCCATCTAACAAACAGTTTTTTAATCGTTTTAGAAGATCGCCAAATCGATCCACAAGGAAACGTTGATCCCATTCTGTAACATCTGGTTGCTCGTCGCACTGGAAGAAAAGTATTGTTTTCAGATGGTATGATGAGATCTTCTTTAACACTTCCTCGTTGTCTCTGATCTCCGTCAATATTCTCAGGAGCTGAATTCTGCACCCATTAGCCAGGGATCGCATTTTATTTTTTTCTGCAACAAAGAAAGATATCCTCCAGGCACTGATAATATCTTTCGGGTTTTGAATACTACAGTCAGGGCAGTTAGTTGTATCAGAACTAAGCGTAGTGTCCATAGAGTTCTTTTGACAACACAGGACATGAGAACTTGAAGGACAATCTCGCCGAGCAAAGTCGCTTCTAGAATCAGGGATGCAAAATGCAGGCAAAATTTGAACGTGTATATCTCTGTTAATGACAAGATTGAGGCCATTCATTCCTTCCACAAACACACTCTTGAGGTCTTTGGGATATTTTTCAATCTTCCCCTGACTGATGTATTTCCGAATAACATGGACAGCCTGTTTAACATATTTCCTCAAAAGTGATTGTATTTTTGAGGCGGATATAAAACCTCCTTTTGTTATACAATCTTTCCACAATTCTCCTGACATCGGTTGAATACGAACAAACGGGCATTCTCCATAATTTTTAACAAAAAGAGTATCCCTAATTCCAAGTGGAAGATTAAGAATCATTTCGAATTGGATCGAGTCACCTGCTCTCAGACCGTCATATGGTATACCATGTGGTACAAGGCCATTTCCCCGAAAACGGTCATCGACTGTTTGCACTTTACGTAAAATTTTGTGCGTTACCGCATACGCAATATCTTCACATCTTTGTTTTCTTGCAAGGCCTGGTTGTACCCTTTTCTCGTAAAATCGCTGCAGGGCCTTTCTTGTTAAGTCTATGCTACTCATCACAGCCACTCCGCTTGCTTTTAACTTTGGGCTGGTAGTGGGGCATGGAATCTTTACATCCTTCGAAGAAGCAACTTTGAGATTTTGTGAATGACCATTTTCGTTAGCATTCACTTCGTTATCTGATAAATGGGCACCTCTAGGGAAAGGGGTACCAATTTCTTCAAAATCTGATAACTCTGAGTCGAACTCTTTGCTCTGAGAAACAACTGCATCGAGAACCTTGTGCCTAATTCCCAAGTCTGCCATGAAATTTTCCATTGATTTGTTGAAATAAAATAATCCTGATTGAATTGTCTTGCTGTATGCGTAGAAAAGCAGCTAAATTTCCGATAGCTGAGGCGAGAAGTGTTCCTGAAATTTTACCATGTAATTGTGATATACGATGAGAGTTAACAAGATCGATGTCGTAGGACTCTTTCTGTTTGCTGACAACGTATCCAATACCATTCTAGTCTGTTCTCGACCTTTTGAATTAATTGATCAAATAAAGGCGATTAGCATTTAAATAAAGCCATTATTGATAGATCAAACAGAACTAAAGGAGTGCAAGAAAAGATCTCCTGGGATTTGACTTTTTAATAATACAGGTCTTTGGTTATATTCCATAGTCTGATTTCATTTTTTAGAAGACGTAGCAGAAATCCAATTACAACAATGTAGGTGGGGCCGAATTAGCGCAGTTGTCTGTTTGAATGAAAGCGGATGGGCAAGAGGAGAATTTTCGCAAAGAGATTAATCTTGCCAAGGCCTAGCATGTTTGTATCACAAAATAACGAAGATTACAGTATCTATGGTTTTATCACGTTAAAAGGTGCGAAAATTGTCTAGGGGAAATCTTTTCTAAGTCCCTTCTAGATTCTCATTCTTATCAGAACATCCAAACCGACCAACGTGGCTCAACTCCTTTTAACTGAAATGAAAAGGAATTTTGGGACCTAAATCTACTTTTATGATTATTTCACTCCAAACTCTTCTACAAATATGTCTGTAGCTCGTTAGGCCACTAGAGGAGGTCAATTTATTTCTTGTAAAAGGAGCACCCTCTGAAGACTGAAAACAGTTGAGCTGGTTGAGCATTTTGACCCTTGATTGTGAAATACTCCTCCACTTTATACATTTGCTGCGCATCTGCCTCAGTTTTTCGCTCTAAATTAATAGCCGGTTGTTCTGACTTCAACTTGTAAATTTGTTGGTACATCTGATTTATGTGTTTTTAAAGCTTTCAGTCCCTTTTTTGTGGGGGACTCTTGCAATAAGCAAAAATAACTAGGGGGCTCTTCCTTAATTAGCCTATTCTATAAGCAAGCAATTCCTATAAGCAAGCAATTAATCAAGTTTATTTTGTTTTACGACGTTGCTCTATAGCCTATTAATTTCAGTATAATTGTTTTAAGGTACGTTTGTACCAAATGCATTGTAATTGTTTAAAATTGTAGGTAGAAGGAATTGATAATCAAATGAAACTAAAACTGAAGAAACTAAAACATGATACTAAAAGTAACGTAGTTTAAATAACGCTAGATAAAATGTACTATGTCATACCAACTTCCTCTTAGAACCCTTATGGTGTAAAACAAGGTTGCCAAATAACCCAGAAACTGAGCTTCAAATTACTTAAACCAAAATCTAGGGTGCAGGGGTAATTTGATTGAAGCATTTCGTAAAAGTAGACATTCGATAGTCTCCTGCTTCCAATTTAATTTTCAAATTATCACTAGTGTATTAAACCCCCGGTGGGTGCAATCCAGTAGTAAAAGGTACACCACCCTCGTCCATACTATTTCATAGAATACCCTTTTCTATGACTTTCTAGTCGGCAAAAAGACCCCTTGTCACGGAATATGTTCGCCGGAACCTGTCTCTTTACCATCTTGAATTTTAGAATTGAGATGTAGACAGGGACGTAAACAAGTGGATAATTTTGGGGGGTCGTGTCGTGGAGGGTTGAAAATTCTAACTTTACCTGATGAATTTTTTCTTTCGACCTGTTAATCTTCTGTACTTACTAAATTGATTTTTGGAAATTGCCTTATGGCTTATTCCAGATTTCTAGGTTCTGTACAATTACCAACATTTTACTAATAATAATTAGTCTTAAGCATAAAAGCACTAAAGAAGATAAAGGAAATCTCTAAATTTTGATTAACGTAAAAGGTACATATAATCTTTTCGTAAGATGTAAAGCAACATCAAAGCCATACCAGTCTAGATCTTGGGTATGTTTAATGATAAAAATCAATATTCTTTCAAGTCAATTAACAGCAATTCTGTTCTTTTTCTGCTTTACCCATCTTGAAGCTATTTGCTGCAGATCAGTTTTATATAAAATATCTTTTTCACAATATAGAAGCATCAAAGAATTTACCATTTCATCTTTTGTTCTTGAACGAATGAAAATTTTTACAATTTTTAAAGGGCTAAATGTCCTTTGCTTTTTGGAACTGAAAAGGGTGATCTGAGGGCAAGTGCATATGCCTGATTCGTAAGATAAACCACAATTTTCTTTGATCTAATACTTCTGCTGCTGCTTCTTTATCAATGTTTTGTTGCTTCTCATCAGTTTTATCATAGCAATTTATGATAAGATTTAAGGAGGTCTACAAAGTGCAGGGGGAGCTTAGCATACACCCGTTAAGAAGCGTTGAGAATTTCTAGCAATGAAAGATTTGTAATGTTTTCAATTGAATTGGCTACCCGTTGTTTCTTAAAAAGTTCCCAATAGATACAGGGAATGATTTTTCAAAACTTCAAGCTCAATCAATACTGACGGTAAAATTTTAACTTTTTATCCAGAAATTCATCTTGCCTGTTTAAAATAATCTAATTCAACTTAACCCCTGTCAAAAAGGAAACAAACGATGCAAGGGTGCAATTTGAGATTAGAAGAATTAAAAACGATTAGAAGATGTGCCTGCTCCAGAGTTTCAATTTTAATAAGGTCTAAGATTTTTACATTGAAAGTCCCAAAATCCTAAGCTATAAAATTCACATATTTGGTCATAATAGTTCGAAAAAATTCCAAGTGAACTTTTAAGTTTTCCAACTACAATTGGATTTCAACCTCTGAAGTTGAGCACTCTGGGTCATATAGACAGTGCTGAGGAGAGGGGGGTCAGGGGGGTCGCTGACCCGGGGGCCCTTGGATATAGGGGCCCATAAAAAAGCTACACGTAATGCCCCTTTCACCCCAATATAATTGCTGCTTTGTAAAAAAAACCTCCAATTCCGTGCAGTAAGATTATTAGTATCTTTTGAACAAATGGAATCCCAACTTAAATATTTGCTTCATTCAAAAACACCTCCTGGCTGGAATAAATATTTGGCTTGCTATCCAGAACGGCCGCACTGGTGCCTGGGATATTCCCGCCAAATTTACTACACGAGAAGAGCCCATTCGGAATGTCTTCGAACTCGTTGTCATAGCCCTTGTTTCCAGACCTAAAGATATAGGATCTTCAAAATTTCACGTGTGTATTAAGTGCCACTGTGGTCTAAAACAGTTGATAGGAAGGCCACAACAAACGAAATAACCATGGATGTCGCCGATCGAACCATTGGAATTGCAAAAATTAAAGATGAACTCGCCGAGCGATGCCAAAAACTTTTTCATGACTTCCTCGAAGAGTGAGTATTTGCAAAGGATGACAGTTCACAGAGTAACTTTTCGTCTTATACATTGTTGATATGTATTATGTATATCTATTGTTGACGAATACTTTATTACACACGAAATTGAGGGTGCGACTTTATTAAGGAATGCACAACTTTCTTATGAAATATTTTCTTATGAATAAAACGTGTATAACGAATTGTTCATCTTTGCCTAAAGAGCTTTAAATCTCACCAAAATATAAAAGCCTTCATCTTAGCATATATTAAGCAGTCAAAGCACACATAAAATGAAGCACTGTTTGTGCCAGCAAATACTTATCCGGAAGCAATTATCTAAACAACATGTAAATCAAACAAATTTGCCATTATATCAGTGAAATTTGGTGTTGTGTGAATAAAGAAAAGGCCATAATAACAGGCTGCTCGATGGACTTCGATGGAATTCTTGCAGTGAAAAGTTGATTAAAATGTAGCAAATAAGTAACACCGCAATGCAAGAAGAATGAACAACAACAAATATAAGTAAATCAGTTAAGGCTAATTTTTCACCAAGGCATGCAGGGCTTCATCATAGCAACAGTGGTGTTGTTGCTGGTGCCCTGTGATGAAATGATAGTAATGCAGATCATTATTTGTTCCAAGGTACCACATTGCCAAACGGTAAAGTCTGGTCTTCATAGGACACATATTCAATTATTTTCATTCTTCATTCTGCCTGCACATTGTTATGAACCTGCTGTTGAGTATTTGCATAGTATTTGTATATCAGGTCATGTTCTCTGCAACTATTCCTCCATTTAAACTTCTGACTTCTGATTACAAGAAATAACAAAGAACACAAGTTCCCTTCAAAAGTCTTTGCTACCAACTCTGTGCACAATTTCTCACAACTCCCGTTTCCACAAATTTGAATTTTGTTGCGCTGGCGTTTCCTGCGCAAAAGAAATATTGTACAGGCTGGTCGCATTGACATAATTTTTACTTGCTAGCTTTCCATAACATCCACTTAGCCATGTTTTACTTTTCAATGTAGGTTCAAAGTTGATGAGGAACCAAAATACCTTCCTGAGGCACAGGAACTGATGAGGCCAGAGAGAAATACATTAACAGTTAGCTTTTATGATGTTGAGGCATACAATTCACAGCTGGCAACTACAATTCAAGAGGAATATTATAGGTAAGCAGTAACTCTTCAATACTTTCTACCAGAACTGGTGATGCTTCTGACAATAATACATGAGAGCTAAGCATGTTTATTGACAAGCTCTAAAATTGTATAAACTGCTGTCAGCACAAAAATTCTTATAAAAAATACTTATATTTCTTGTAAGTTTATAATTCATACGAAAATCTGAAGTTCTCTATTATAAGATTTGTGCAATAAATCTATTAGCTAGTTCCAGAAAAATCATTTTAGTTAACAATTGTAGTTTTATTAATAACAACACCCTAACAAATGTTTTAATTTTTCCACAGAGTATACCCATATTTATGTAGAGCAGTGAGAAATTTTGCAAGGGATCGTGGCCAAGTTCCACCAAGTAAAGAATTTTATGTCAGCTTTGTGGACGTTGCTACTAGGAACAAGTAAGATGCTTTTAGTTTTTTAGTTTTTGCTTTTAGTTCTTTCCATAAAATCAGTTAAATTCAGGTCAAGCTTACAATATGCAAACATATTTAGTATCAAAATCATATTTTTCTTCTCATGTAAATTCATGCTGATCAACCCTGCTTCCTATCTGTTAGAGTTCGAGAGCTAACATCACAGAAAATTGGAGCGTTATTACGTATCTGTGGTCAGGTTGTAAGGACTCATCCTGTGCACCCAGAGCTTGTTAGTGGTACTTTCATTTGCCTTGACTGTCAAACAGTGATCAAAGATGTTGAACAGCAGTTCAAATATACACAGGTAAAATATTTTAATCAGAATTCATAAAGTTTAAACTTTTTGCTATTTTTTCTACCAATAGCTTACTTTGTATGAGATTTTCAACATAGTAAAATTGATTTGCCAGAAACCAAGTCCAAAAAAAGCTAAGCAAAAAAACACCCACCTCCACCTATTGCTTTATGTTTGTTTGTTTTAATTTGAAAAAATAATTTGCATTGTAGCCAAATGTTTGTAAAAACCAAGTGTGTCAAAATAGAAACAAGTTCAATCTTGATGTGGAAAAGTCCAAGTTTGTTGACTTTCAAAAAGTAAGGATTCAAGAAACACAAGCAGAATTACCAAGAGGCAGTATACCAAGAAGGTTAGCTTTCCAAGTAATTTTAATGTAAAAAATATAAGTCAAAAATAAGTAGGTGCCTTACAAGGTTTATAATTCAATGATTGCTTCGTTTTCATAACTTGTCCAAATCAATTCTGTCTTGAACTGGCAAAATTGCAAACGGACAACTCATACAGGACCATACCATGAGTCATCAGACATAAAACAATATTGTCACAGAAAATATTTTTTGTTTGTTTTTCCATACATGATTGATCCTCAATTGCAAAGAGAATAGCCATTTTTGTGATTTAATCAAACAAAATCAACACACTAGAATGAAACAGAAGATAATTAAACAATTGATATAATTAAACGATCTTATAAACGATTTGGTGTATAGAACAGGAAAATTCTAAGTTGCTACCCTCCAAGTTCAACACTTAATGCGATCATCATTCTACCTGTAAAGTTCTGCCTATCTGGCATCAAGCTATTAATGATAGACTGGTGAAAAGTAGTTAACAAACTTTGATATATATATTTATATGTATATTTATATGTATATATATTTATATGTAGTTCTAAAGATCATGGTTCGTCTCATCTTTTCAAAATTTTTTTAGTAAGAATTAGTTTTGTCTTATTTTGTTAGCTTGTTTTGACATCGATAGCTCAAAACAGTTGTTTTGTTTGTCTTTTGGCAAATCAGATTTTTTCAATACTTTATGCATAATCATTTTATTTTCAAGTTGATTTTGTTTCTTTTTCAGCGTTGAGGTGATTTTGAGGGCAGAGGCTGTAGAACAAGCACAAGCTGGAGACAAATGTGATTTTACTGGGACATTGGTTGTTGTTCCAGATGTTTCAAAACTAAGCGTACCAGGTAAGGCAAAAAGCTGTAATGCATAAAAATGCCAATTAGTTCATATAGTTTTATGTTGCATTTCTTAACCCAAAGTCATTTGCATGTGAGTATCCAAACCAGGGGCAGACTGGCTAATTTGTTTGGCCCGGGCAAATTTTGATCAAACCGGCCCACAAAAATAGCAAATAAAAAACTCCTCGGAAAATGCAAGTAAATGTTAGTCTGTAAGGAAAACAAGTTTTTAAATTCAGTAATTGTGTGCATGGATGAATGCTGGTTAACAGAACATGTTGAATAAGTCATTTGCTGACTAAATAGTAAATAAACAAAAATTTTAACTCATTGGTTTGACTTTCTTTCTAAATACAGTAACTTATATGTTGATAATGTGAAAGTTCTAGATGTCATCTAACAGGTGTTTTTCTAAGAACTCCAGGTTTGGCTGCGAAAAATTACCACGTAATCTGTTCTTTATATATTTAAAGTGGAAAAGCTTCTATCACACTCAACTTGTGACAAATAATTTTCTAATCCTCCGGAAAACCACAATGATTTTCAGCAGCCCAAAAATATCGATTTGTCAATTTCTAACCCCAAAAAGAAAACATGGGCACCCCTGTTGAAATTTTATCGTGTAGCACCATACCCCTATTGGGCAGGGGGCCATTTGACTTATGATAGTATATGCCTAATAAATGTACCATAACTTGTATGAGTTTATTGAAAGGAGCAAGAGCAAGACCCTGCTGTTTTTTGTGACGTTTGTGGCTTTTGCTTGATAAAAAAAGCTTTGTATCGTAGCTGAATCCTTTTTTAAGTCTCACAGCTTTTCCTCACGAAATTTCTGTGCACCACCTTTGGTTGAAGTCTTCTTGCTCTTTCCTTGTTCTACGCATGTCCTCTTCATTACTTCACATCACAGAGCAAATCGCTTAGTGAACTTAGTGAATTTTTGGACTTTTAAATTTATTACATTTAGCAATAGCTTGTGCTTAGGGAAAAACATGACCAGCTTCAAGCAAAAGCTAAGTAAAAATACATCGAGGCAGGTTAAAATCTCAAGCCCCAGCAAAACGACTGGACATTTTCACTGAACATGGACTGGACAAATGTTCAGCGTAAATGTTGCGTCGTTTTGCCACATTGTCCAGTGTTGTTCAGCGATGTTGAATGTTGTTCAGTCGATTTTGAAGGCAGCCAAAAATGTTCAGTGGACAGGATTAAATTTCTTTTGCTCACTAATGTTGTACAGAAATTGTTCAGTCGTTTTGCCACTCTACTGAACATTGTCCAGTTTGCGAACGCGCAATCAATTAATGGTTTGGATTTGGCGTCAATTTATTTCCCATATTCAAATCTTCAACAAACTTTCTAAGTCAACACCGTGAACGAAATGGAAACAACGTGAAAATTCAATTCGACCAATAGCAGAAAAAGTCATTTAATTAGTAACGATGAATCTTCTGATCAGATAACCTTTAGTTGTGATAAGGAAAGCGATGTCAGAGAGCACGAGGAAGGTGATTTTGATGAACCTAGCAGTCCTAGCCACTTTTCAATAATACACTCTAATTCATACGATAACACGGTTAGGGCCATGAAAAGTGTATTTTCAAAGGTAAAGAGATGTCCTGTTGCCAGTTTTCCCACCCGCATTCTTCAACAGGGAAAAAGTTCACTGGACAATGTTCAGTCGTTTTGCCATAACCAATATTTTCTGGATGTCCATACTCTGAACAATGAGCAATGTCTAGTGTGTGACCAGTGCAAATGTCCAGTCAAAGGCCCTTAAACCGACCGGCCCTTAAACCGACCGGCCCTCCGGGCGAACGCCCGAATAGCCTGACCAGCCAGTCCGCCCCTGATCCAAACCAACATGTACATAATTCATGGTTTGAAGGCTGCTGCTTGCATGACTTCCAGGTCATCCTATAAGTTTGTTACTTTTTTGTCTCTTTTGATTTGTGCTCATTTGGTATCTGAAATTTCTTTGATGCACATTGAATAGGTGCAAAAGCTGAGAAGTCAGACAGGAGTCGGCAGACTGGAGGTCATGCTGAAGAAGGAGTAAGGTCAGCCTTTAACATTTTTTATGTGCCAAACTCACTTTCCCATATTTAAAAATCATTTTTTCTTTCAGAGAATGAATAAAATCTGTTTTTTATCTGCAGGGGTCTAAAAGCTCTTGGAGTAAGAGACCTTAATTACAGACTGGCATTTTTAGCATGCAGTGTGACCGCAACAAACCCACGGGTAAGATATTTTTGCAATTGTTTTCTTTAATTTTATTTTTGTGGTTATGTTTTTAATACTTATCACTATCAAATCGATGGTTGTATATTATTGTTTTCTGTCAATGAAAAAACTTTATCAATTCTAATTCTAGTTTGGTGGGAAGGATCTTTCAGAAGATGAAATGACGGCAGAGGCAATTAAAAAGCAAATGACAGAACAGGAATGGAGAAAAGTTTATGAAATGAGCCAAGATAGAAATCTATACCACAACTTGATCACAAGCATGTTTCCCACCATACATGGTATGAATCTATGCAAAAATTATATATGAGAACAGTGAAATGAATTTTTCTGGTTGATCAAGTGACAGAGTTGTTTAATTTTGATAAATTTTTACCTCATGCTAATGTTTTAAAAATGATTTATTTCTTGAAGAAGGCTAATACCTGAGTGTTTAACAATTTCCTTTTTGATGTGCTACAATTGTTTTTCCACAGTTCCCATTCAAGTCTAAACATACATTCATTGGCAAATATCATCCTATTGAAAACTCTCCAGCCTGCAAATTGTAATCATACAATCTATATACACGGCTTTGTGTTCATTTAAATACAAGCACTCAGTCTCACCCTGAAATGGGTGGTTAACAATAAATTTTCTTTGGTTTACTGTTTCAGCAACTATTTAATGAATAACAACAGCAATTTTGATCAGAGATTAAAATGCCAAAACAGCCTCACAATCAACTTTCAAATATACTTTGACTGTTTTAATCTTTTTTAACAAAACCTCTCATTTTTGAAAACTACAATCTTTGTTAATGTGTGGACTTTGCCATGTTTCTTGAACCCTGCCCATTTATTCCAGACCCATTAGGAGGTAGTGCAAACAATCTGTTGTTGATAATAGCTGTAAAATCTTTATGTTTATTTAAGGAAATGATGAGGTCAAGCGTGGGGTGCTGCTCATGTTGTTTGGTGGTGTTCCAAAGAGAACAATGGAAAAAACAGCTCTACGCGGTGACATAAATATTTGCATTGTTGGTGACCCTAGCACAGCAAAAAGTCAATTTCTCAAGTGAGTGATAGTGGTGTTCCATGGTACTTTCTAATAATTTCCTTTTGATCAACAATGAAGTTTTTCTACAAGATATTTCTGCTGTTTAATCTGTGCTGACAGTTTTTACAAGGAGTAATTTTCAAATGTGTTGTAGGCAAGTGGAAAGCTTCTCACCTCGAGCAGTTTATACTTCTGGAAAGGCAAGCACTGCTGCAGGTTTGACCGCTGCTGTAGTCAAAGATGAAGAATCACATGAATTTGTTATTGAAGCTGGGGCACTTATGTTAGCCGACAATGTAAGCATAGAGTTGCATTTTAGGCAAATACATATTTGTAAGTCAAGGTTGTGATTGTTGTGATCATTGCATCCGTCCATTGTCACATTCTGATAAAAGTACAAATTCAAGATTTTAATACCAGAAAGTTTTCTGCTTTTATCTCATCACTTGTAGGCACTATTTCTTTTTTTGTGTAGAGTTTTTTGAGAAATTATTGATGAGTTTGTTTCTTGCATGATTGAGTAAGCCCCTTATATTAGAAAAGGCTTGAAAAGGCCCATATGAAGTAATTAGAAAACAGATGTAGACTAATTTTTTTATTTTTAAGGGAGTCTGCTGTATAGATGAGTTTGACAAAATGGATCTCAGAGACCAGGTTGCAATCCATGAAGCTATGGAACAACAAACAATTTCTATAACCAAAGCTGGAGTTAAGGTATTTTTCCCGTACTTTCTTTTAATATCTTTTTCTTTAACAGGAGAAATAATGGCAGACAGAGTCTTTGATATATTTAATTTTTTTCATTCAAGCAGACAGGGTAGTTTATATATTTGCCAGTTTATACTGGAAGTGCGATTTGTTTACTTTTCAAGCTGTATTTTAAATAGCTTTCCTCCAACTTTGCATTAATAATTTTCTAATTAACACTGTTCAATAATTTCAAAATTGATGTATGACAGTTTTTGGCCTTTACTTAGAATGGTGGCTAACAATGCTATTTCTATTATAGGCCACCCTAAATGCAAGAACGTCAATCCTTGCTGCTGCCAACCCAATTGGAGGAAGATATGACAGAACAAAATCTTTGAAGGTATATTTGTGTGTATGCTTTTTTGTGCTTCATTCATCTCCAGATTTGCGAAAAGAATTTTTTCTTAAAAAAATGTTTTTTATCTGAATGTTCTTCCTAAGACTACCCTTGTGGAACCAACATGGCACCCCCCTTTTTGTACAGGCATGACAACTGTATTGACAGCTTATTTCTCATTGTGTTTGAGCTGATTCTTTTAAAAACCACGATTTCATTTCATAGATTTTGTTGAATGTCCAAAAACCATTATTCGTCATAAACTATAAATAATTTGAATGTTCAAACTATCCTTTCTGTTCATTCTAGCACAACATACAATTGTCAGCTCCAATTATGTCAAGATTTGACCTTTTCTTCATTCTGGTAGATGAATGTAATGAGGTTGGTTTGTCTGAAATTGTTAAAGAATTGCTTGTAATTTCTTTACTGTTTCAATGTTATCACCGTACTTTGTTAACCCATTGCAAAAAATATGTATATATAATGAAAGGCCTGATTGATTCCTCGCTCTATATAAGCAAATGAAACATTTTATACTTTTGTTTTAGGTTACTGATTATGCAATTGCTAGAAGAATTATTGATTTGCACAGCAGGCTTGAGCTATCTGTAGAACGATTTTACTCCGTTGTAAGTATAACTAGATGTACACAAAACTTATGTTAAAAGTTATTTTATAATTAGTGTATACGTTAGTGGTCTACCTTTTTAATTTATGAGAATAGTTTTGGTTTGCAACCAATGCACCAAAAAGTATTTTTCTTTAACTTAGCAAACATAACCACAGGCTAGGAGTAATATCTCTAAATAACTAGATTATTAATCCCCCAAGAGGGTCTTCGTTCTCATGTTTCCTAAAGATGTTTCAAATATCTACCATGTTGCCAATAACATTTCTTGAAGGTTCCCTAGCGATTGTTGAGGTCTTGTCATAATGTTCCCTTGAATCCTGATTTTCGATATATTCTTTTGCTCACATATCAACGGCAGATTCCCTTGTTCCCATTACAACTGCAGGGCCTCCGACGAAGGGGGGGGGGGGCGGGGGGCCTTGGCCCCCCCCATTTTTCAACCTTTGTCGGAGCCCATGAACTTGAAAGGCCTCCGTAATATGTAACTTTTTTAACATAACTATTCCTAGCTACAGTATTCAACAGTTTTTCCCTTGTATATATATTTAATTGGAACTTAAGGTCTTTTGGAAGACATAAGATCTTAAAAGAATTATACGATTAAAAGATTTAGAACTAAATTATCATTTGTTTGGTTTTAGGATGAGATTCAACGTTACTTGACATTTGCAAGACTCTTCAAGCCCACGGTGTGTTTGAGCATTTTGATCCTCTTTTAAGATTCATTAGTATATTTTATGTTTAACGTTTGAAGTAAAGTTATATTTACTACAATGTGACTAATGTTTGTAATAGCTGGAATTAGCTGCTAATGCACTAAAAACTTTGCATTCCAGATTCCATACCCATCCTGTCACTGCTGACGATATTTTTTTTTCTAGATAAACAAAGAAAGTCAAGATTTTATAGTTGAACAGTACAAGGCATTGCGACAAAGGGACATTAATGGCATTTCAAAGTCTTCATGGCGAATAACAGTCCGGCAGTTAGAGAGTATGATAAGGTTGTCGGAGGCATTAGCGCGGCTACACTGCCAAGACGAGGTACAATAATAACTTTTTCCAACTCTTCTCCATTATTTTCAAAGGCACCGTGCCCCGTCAGTCCACTGTTAAGGGCTAGCACAAGAGGCATTCGAGCGCGTTTCAACAGAGAAAACGTTGAAAATGAGTACTGCGTTGGCGATTGGAAAACGCAATAGTTTATTGTATAGTCCAACAAAAGGAAATTTAGATGGTCTAAGAGAGTTCTTCGGGACATATAGTGCAGTGGCGGACACCTTGGGGGGGGGGCGGCGATACTTTAGAGGACAATGGTCTTTTATTTCTTTCATTTTATTTCAATGGTCTTAAAACAATGGGAAATGTGAGATCATCTTATTAAAACAATAGGCTTGCCCCCCCCCCCCAATATTTGACCAAGTGTCCGCCCCTGATATAGTGTCTTTATATATCGCCCTCATTTATTGCCCTCATATATCGCCCTCATATATCGCCCTCATATATCGCCCTCATATATCGCCCTCATATATCGCCCTCATATATCGCCCTCATATATACATATACTATTTCCAATAGCTCTAAGCTCAATAAAGCTGAAGAAAATTCTGTCTATACTGCAACACATAACTTGAGTTTTTGTGAAGGCTAACATAGTGAAAATAAAGCTAACTTTAATTTTTACAGTTAGAGTTCCAGAGAATTTGGTCTCAATGGTGGACCAAGAGCACCTTCACTAAAGTGCAATATTATTAATTAGCATATTGTCTACAAGAATTCTTGTTTTGAACTCACCTATTTATTGGCTCCTGTTAATATTTTTTGGTTTTTATTATTGCTATCTGCTGCTTTGCTATATAATATCTGTAAAGAACTTAGGAATTGGTTATGTAATTTTCAGTTCATTTGGATGTTATTTAATTACACAGGTACAACCAAAGCACGTTAAAGAAGCATTCAGACTGCTCAATAAATCAATCATAAGAGTTGAAACACCAGACATTCAGTTCGATGAACAAGATGGTCAAGGTAACAATGCATTCAGATTTTTTTGCACTATCAGGTCGAGTCACAAGTGTAACAAATGAAGGAATTGCGCATTCCGGAGCAAGCAGATACAACCAGACTAATTTAAGTGCCCACCGTTAAAATTTTGAAAAGATGTCAGTTAAATATTTCTTGCTGTGTTGTCCTCTCTTTGATACCCAAAGATAATCTATTCTTACGAGGGAATAGGGAGCGTTCCTGTTTGTGAATTAGAGATTGTAGGAGGGAAATTGTTTGGGTGTGAACGAGAATGATATTGACTACGATGAGATACGGAAACCATCCCCGCTCTTCAGCAGGTGACGAATTTTATCTTATGAGAAAGATAGAAAAGCCTATAAGACTGTCTTTACGCAAGCATGTAGATTGTGCAACAAATAATGTTTTTGTAGTACGTTTATTTTATTAGGAAATACTAAAAAGCGGGGGAAAACAATTTTTACTGAAATCGTTTCATAAGTGGCGACGTGACTCTATCCGCGTTCGGATCGAAAGTAATACGAGAAGGAATGTGACCCCACCCGTTTTCATTATTCTACAAAAATTTTCCTGTTTTATAAAATATGGGTTTCATTCATGAATTTCCTAAGAAGCGTCTTACTGAGATTTTTCCTAGAATATTTACTCATTCAGATTGTAAAACAGACTAAAAATTTTTCCTGTTTCATTGAATTTAGATATGGAAGTAGACGAAGATACAGAGCAGCCACAGGCCGCCCAGGTGAATGGCGATATCCCTAATGGAGACTCTCACGCCAAGTCAAGTGAACCTGCCCAGAAACGCAAATTAAAGCTGAAATATGAGCAGTACATGATAATTGCAAATTCCATTGTATCTTATATGAGAAATGAAGAAGACAAAACTGACGACGGTGAGGGCTTTCATGATGGCGCAAAAGCGACGTCGACTTCAATTTTTTTTAATTGTAGAGTCATAGAAATTCCATTAATGATGAATATATCGTTGCATGAAAGAATTACGTCATCTCAAATATGTAAAGCTCTACCGTGAACATAGTTATTGAGACAGGAGCCTAGACACAAATGTAGAATTGGCATGCCTCTACGATACAGATGCTCACTCTATCTTCCCATTTAAGTAACGATGTAGAGATACCAACTTTGAAATGGGGCGTGCCTGTTCAAGATTTTATATTGCTTTGCTAAGCAAGAGGTGATAAGGAAGCTAGTTTCCTTGTTTGTATTCGGATTAAGCAAGTTTCCATACAAAAAAACGGTGGATACCAATTGGTATTAAAGAGCTTTTGGCAATGCTAGCTTTGTTTGTTTTTTAGAGGAATCAGCAATCCGAAGAACTGACGTCGTAAACTGGTACTTAAAGGAACATGAAAGTGAAATCGATTCACAAGCGCAGCTTGAGGAGCAAACGTTTTTAATCAATCGAGTTCTGGACAAGCTCATATTCAGCGTAAGAAACTTTTTTTTACGTCACAGATGTAGATGGGATATATTCATTTGATCATTGCTTAGAGTCTGAATATTTTGATCTGATTAAGAGATACCGTCAGGAGCGTAACTAGACCAATAGGTTTTGGGGGGGGGGTGAAAAGGGTTTCTGCCCTGCAGACCTCAAAGCAAAGGTTTGCCTGTAGAATACTGGTGAAAGCTTTACCAATGTACATTTGTCTTTACCAATTATAAATTTCTACGCAATAAAAACAAATTTGAAACTTAACTGCCTATGCAATATCTGTTTATCTACATGAGCGTAAATTAAGTGTCAAATTTGATTTTGCTTTGTAATAAAGCTTACATTGCACGTCATATTTTTCGGCTACATACATGAAAAGAATTGCAACTTAAATTGATTCGTGTGGTCTCATTTTATTGAAAGCCGACGCAACTTAACCAACGCGCTCGTGTGCAACTTAACGTGCTCGTGTGCAAATAAGGCAGCTGCCCTGGAAGACTTTGGGCATTTTCACCCCCCCCCCCTTCCCGGATTTTCGCCCCTGGAAACCGTCTTTTCTCTAATGAACGCCGCCCTCTGATAAATACCGCCCTCTCTGTTAAATGCCGCATCTTGAAAAGCGGCGTTTATTAGAAAACACACCAAACAATAATCAACGAATCGTTTATACGCTTACTATTCGAAAGCCATGAAAGTTTTAATCTCATAGAGACGAGGACTCTGACGAAGCAGGAATATTGAAATTCCTTGACATTTCCATAACATATCTTTCGTAAACTTTAAAAAAATTTTCACACAATCTTTTTTACGTGCTTTTGGGAAAAGAAAACATTGTTTAAGGTCTGTTTTTATCTTTTTTTCATCGTATTTTTCTTGTCATTTTTCGTTTGACAAACTTGCCATTTTGTATTAAACGCCACCCTCTATTAAACGCCTCAACCAAAATCTTGGATTTATGATAAACGCGGCCTTCTTTACGGTATGCTTGGAATGTCATACTTTTTACTTCATTCATGTAGAAAGTCGTTATTTATTTGTATTAATTTTTGCTTATTACTAGACGTACAACACGCTGAGCTACATCTATTATAAATTTGAATACAAGTTTAAATACAAGTTTGAATACAAGTTTAAATAAGCTTAAACATTCTTTTTAAGTCAATAATTACCTACGTGGGGCTTAATCTTGATTATTATGTTGCCTGTGTTGGTCTTTTTGTACTTTAGCTCAAAAAATTTTGCTAACCTGGTTTATGACGTCAGCAATAATGCACAATGTTTGTTTTTGCATGTTAATATCTTCGATTTGTTTCTTGCCTCAAGTCAACCTTATTCTTCTATAGTTTAGAACTCGACAGTCTTTCTCTCGACAGTCAGAATGCCAGTAGATTTGTTGGTGGTCTAATTGCTTGTTTGTTTTCATAGGATGGCGTTCTCTTGGCACTGAAGGAACCCTTAAAAGCAACAGATGAAGAAGCAGTTCCAGCCGAGGATGAAGACAACCCGTATCTCGTTGTTCATCCAAATTACGTCATCGAGTAGAAAAATGGACACTGGAACATTTTTATGAACTGTAAAAAGGTATTTGGTAATCCAGATTGGCCCCTGGAGGAGTTGAATACCATCATGATACAGCAGGGGCCCCCTTAGAGGAGAAGAGAGGCAATCTTTAGCATAACAAATGTATAATATTGGATAAAATTTCTTGTATCTACCTCATGCATTTATCCTTGTTTTTTACACTATGCAAATGGCTTTTTAAAGCAAGTAGAAAACATCTTGTTATCGAGAGATATAGACAGTTTTCTGTTCTGGTATTTATTTTTAAAGGGTGTAAGTTAAGTTACCGAACCCATTAGTTAGTTTTCGAGGAAAATTTAAGTTATCTAGGTATAAAATTCTGGGTATCAATGCCTAGTTGGTGTGTCGTTGGATTTGGTGCTGTAAAAATATCGTGTTTATCTTCAAATATTCATCAAAGTTAACTCTGGTTGATGAATAAAGCAACTTAGGTGTAACTCTCTTCTCAAAATTGCTGTATTCTAAATTGTAAATGTGATCGGTGCCATTTTTCGATTCAGAGGTTTCTTTTTCGAAGAAACGATTGTTTCTTACACAGGTCTGTCAGCTGGTTCCAACATAAGACGATCAGTAAAATTGTAGATTAGGAAATAGATATAATGTTCTGTCCAAAAAATTTGGAGACAATTTTTTAGCTGCGGTTGGTTGACTCAATAGGTCTCGAAAAACTTAGATAATTGTACAGAATATGCAACCTTGTTATGTGCAGATAGAAGAACAAAGCAAGCAGTTTTTTACTTAAATTTAATTTTCTTGACAAACTATGTACAGTTACAGTCACTAAATCAACACAGCTTATTGACCATTTAATGTCACGAATCTT